AGTTATAAATGATTGTTTGGTAGTAGTTTAATGATATAGAAAGTGACTTATTCAGTAAGGTTTTAAGACGAATTTTTATGTAAAAAGCCAAATATTTCCAAACTTGTCCTTCCCAATTATGAAAAAACATTCCTTCTTTCAATGAAAAAACTCTCATAAACAAAAATCTTTCCAATCTATTTGGACAGATTAATCCACTAATCCATACAAACATCTTTATCCATACAAAACTTAATGAAAAACCAACCAAACAACCCCTAAAAACATCTCTAATGGAGGTTGTGAAAATATTTTTTTGTCATATTACTTCCAACTTGTCAAATCAATAAACCTATATAAAACTGTACAATGGTAGTTTTTATGAGAACCTATTTTGTGGCCGTTTACCAAACCTATATAAAACTGTACAGTGGTAGTAAAAGAATATATAAAATATTATTTCATATAAAATTCAAGGTAAGTACCAAGTTTCTTATAAAAAGAACTTAAAAATCTTAGGGGCCGTTTACCAAACATTTACCTGGATAATCGTTTATCAAATCACATTACCTGAGTAATCGCTTATCAAGTCATATTCCCTTACTGGATGACTATGGTAAAGACCAAGAATCCTATCTGGTAAGAACTAAGAAAATGATCTAGAGTCTAACCTGGTAAGTGAGCGCGATGACTCTTGTCACGGTTAGCACTTACCGGATAAATGGTTGCATATGATACCATTTTGGTGGATTGAAATCTTATTCCGTAAGTAAATGATAGTGTTGAACTTTGCTGACAAACACTTACTCAAATAAGAATTTGATAAAGAACCCCTTAATATTTTATAAAAATACATGTTTTTCCCTTATATACTCTAAAATACCATCAATTATACATGCAATGGTTTTAGAGAGTTTAATTGTGTTAGGTGAGCTTTTTATAATTATCTTCGACACAATTACAAACCACTTTCTCAAAGTTGTCACATCAACAACTTAATTTTACATAATATTTCAATCATTTAATAAAAATAAATCAAATACAATTTTTATAACATATTACAACCTGACTTTCAAGTACGACCCTATATACTTGTTATATGATCGTATCATTACATATTACAAGCTTTTTCCTCACCCCTACCCCTTTCTCACCCCACCGTTATTAGCTTCCCTATCCCATGTATACCCATTAATTTCATCCTTGTATGATTTTAATAATATCATGTATATAAACATCTTTAAGATTTCCATATTTGACACAGAGTATTTTCTACGTTACCTTTTTATGTCTTAAACAAGAAAATATGTTGTTTTTGAGATTTTCATGTAAATCCAAATTTTGAATTTGAAAAGGAATATTATTGTTGGTGATATTATTTGGATGTAATTCATTACGTTGGTTGTTTTGATATTTTTTTATTAACCTGGATATTCAACCCGTTATGCGAGCCGACTAATCCTGGGGCGGTCACCTACTTTGCAGATAGTCCAGAGTCATCGCATTCGAACCTCCGTGGCCACAAGGGGATTTTTATTCCTCCTTTGATTTGAACCTAGACCTCCTTGTACTTTTGACCTTTAGAGTCAAGCTCTCGTTTATTTTGATATTATTTTTTGTAGTAGCATATAAAAGAATGGAGAAAATGAGTATTTGTGGGCTCGATCCTTTTGACTTGGATCCATTTTAAGCGATTCTAAAGGTACGTTTGTTAGTGAATTTGAAGAGATTAATTAGCTCACAACTTATTCGGTTATTTATTCGGCTAGTTATAAATGATTGTTTGATAATAGTTTAATGATATAGAAAGTGACTTATTCAGTAAGGTTTTAAGACGAATTTTTAAGTAAAAAGCCAAGTATTTCTAAACTTGTCCCTCCCAATTATCAAAAAACATTCCTTCCATCAATGAAAAAACCCTTATAAACAAAAATCTTCTCAATCTATTTGAACAGATTAATCCATACAAACATTTTTATCCATACAAAATTTAATGAAAAACCAACCAAACAACCTCTAAGATCATCTCTCATGGAGGTTGTGAAAACATATTTTTTTGTCATATCACTTCCAAGTTATCAAATCAATAAACCTATATAAAACTGTACAATGGTAGTTTTTATGAGAACCTATTTTGTGGGTCCCATATATACATATACATATTAATTATTATATAAGATATAAAAGTAAAAAACATATTATTTCATATAAAATTCAAGGTAAAATACCAAGTTTCTCATAAAAAGAACTTAATAATCTTATGGAGCATTTACCAAACGCTTATATGGGTAATTGCTTACCAAGTCACGTTACCTTATTGGATGATTACGATAAGGATCAAGAATCCTATCTGGTAAGAGCTAAGAAAATGATCTAGAATCTTACCTGATAAGTGAGTGTGATTACCTTACCACGGTTAACACTTACCAGGTAAATGGTTGCATACGATACCATTTTGGTGGATTAAAATCTTATTTGGTAAGTAAATGATAACATTGAACTTTATTGATGAACACTTATTCGGATAAGAATTTGATAAACAACCCCTTAATATTTTATAAAAATGCATGCTTTTCCCTTATATACTCTAAAATACCATCAATTATACATGCAATGGTTTTAGAGAGTTTAATTGCGTTAGGTGAGCTTTTTATAATTATATCGACACAATTACAAACCACTTTCTCAAAGTTGTCACATCAACAACTTAATTTTACATAAATATTTTAATCATTTAATAAAAATAAATTCCATTTAATAATAATTAGAAGGGTACTCGCGTAATGCAACGAATACATCTCAATTTTAATATATTTTTTTTTTTTGTTTATGTCGATATTATAATATGGTTTATGTGGTTTTGAGAAATTGATAATGTTTTTATATTTGAATAGAATATAAATAATAAAGATATCATAAAATTTTGAGAAAAATATATTGATATTAATACTAAACTAACTATTTAGAATTTTTCCATCTTTGTGTAATTTCTTTAATTCATTTTTTTATTATAACTTAATTTAGGTTTAATAACGAAGTTATTTTGGTTTAATAATATATTTTTTTATAAAAATAACAATTAAGTATTTTATTTAAACTCAATAATTATCCTAATTATATATTTTTTTATATTTAAAATATGAGAAGTTTATTCTGTATTTAATTATTTTTATCTAAACTTAGTTACACGAATTCAATCATAGAGATTTAATAAGTTGTATTCATACATAATTTACGTGTAATCTTGAATTTTAAGTAATATGCATCAATAAACAGTGGTTTTAAAAAGTTTTTCTCAAATACTTTATAATATAATATAGATGTTAATAATTAAAACCTTCAAGTAGTTTAGATTCATATTTGTTAAAACTAATTATAAATCTTTTATTTACGTAGTTTTTGTTATTTATGTAATTATGTTAAGGTTTCATTTTAGTAATTAATATTAAAACATAATACTCTTATAATAAAAACTGAATTTTTGGAACGCCAAAAATTTCTAAGTATCTTAATAAACTATTTTATATGACTGAAGTTTATAGAACCAAACATATACATGTCGTATGTAAAAGTGTTGTCAATAGGTTTATATTATGCCGTTGGGTGTCTAAAATAGTTTTTAAGACGCTTTTAAGATAAAGCGTCACACTAAATTTTCAAATGACATTATTTAAAAAATTGCCTACAAACACAAGCTATAAAAAGACGCATTACTATTTAAGACGCTCAAAAGCGTCTTGTTAATGTATTACAACACTCTTATATATGACATATATATGCATGGTCATGTAAGCTTAAGTTTTATAAAGTAGTCTATTAAGACACTTAGTTTTTTTTTTTTTTGCCTTCTGTAAACACAATTTTATATAATAAACTTTGTAATTTGCTAAATGAAATAACTATTTGATATATAATTTAAATCATAAACGAAACAAAATTGAAAATTTATAAATTTAAATTAAGGGTGGGTCCACAATGCCATAATAATATCGCATTTACAAATTGATTTGTAATTGATGAAAGCCTTGTTACATGTTACTTTGATAATTAATTCATACAAATACAAGATCAACGTTAAATGACAGATTTAGGATTCGATTATAAGGGTCCGTTTACCCAAATGCTTACCCGGTAAGTACTTATAGTAAGAGTCAACACTATAATTTATTTTATCAGATAAAATTGTAGTACATCAAAATGTATCTTATGCAACAATTTACCGGGTAAGACTCTCCATTCTTATCATCGCTGTTACTGGATAAGATTTTTGGCTCTTGTCATATTCATCCAGTGAGGAAAATTGTCCGGTAAGTACTTAATGGGTAAGCATTTAGTAAACGAACCCTAAGTATCACATATCTATCTTTAGAACATATAATTTGTCATACTCATGATGATGGTAAACGGTATAAAGGTCTAATACAATGATCTACCAAGTTACCCAATCCAACCTGCTCATTTTCACAAAATCCATTTGCAAATTTTTGAGTAATTCAAACACAAGAAATGCAATGCAACCCTAAAAATGTTGAGGTGATACACATTTCCAACAAGGTATATATGCCAAATTTGATCAATTCTAAGTCAAAAGGATGACATATCAAGATCCAGATTTGATTTTGGAGCAGGTAAAACTGAAATTATAACCACTCTGTAAAAATTATTATATACGATTTTTGTTTCTTTTCAATCTTGGTATCACATTCTAACTGGTTTGTTTAATCATTTTCTTCTCAATTTGTGTTGTTGCTAACTAGAACTCGCCTTTAACGTTAACGTACCTCCGATAAGATCATGATCTGTTCGTATATGGCCCTGGAATCTTGTCACCTTTTCACCCAAATACCAATATACTTCACACTTCTAAAAGGGTGTCATGTAAGTATGCATCTTGAAATGGTCATAGCAACCTATTAGTGGCAGTTGCGTATCTAATCCTGGAGAGGGTTTGGTGAGATTAGTGGTTGGTTTCTGAGCTTGAGCTCTCTCTTTATAACCAGTCATCTCTGCTTCCCAATCATGCAATCTTTTCTCACAAATTAAGGAAACCCTCTTAACCAGGCTCATCAATGGCTTCCCTTCTCTATGCTACTTTCATGTTAATTGCCTTCCTCTCATCTTCTGCTGTATGCTTTGCTTTTCCAGGCTTCAACTTTGGATGGGGTGGCACTGGTGGTGGTAGTGGCAGCGGTGGTGGTGGAGATGGGGCTTTTGGCGGCAGCCAAGGGTATACTGGTCTTTTCCCAGAATTCTACAGTTTCTCATGTCCTCAAGCTAATGACATTGTCATGTCAGTCCTTCAGAGGGTCATTGCCAAAGAGCCAAGAATGGCTGCTTCTTTACTAAGGCTTCATTTTCATGATTGTTTTGTTCAGGTAAGTATATTTATTACTTTTTTTCTTCATTTATATGTTATGATATTGACGTGAATGTAATTTAACAATCCAAATTTTAAAAAGAAATCCTTAGAGTGAATGAAACTGTTGTTGTCTTTTTCTCAGGGATGTGATGCATCTGTGTTGTTGGATGATAGTGTAATGTTTGCGAGTGAAAAGAACTCCGTGCCAAATAGTAATTCGATTAGAGGATTTGAAGTGATCGATGAGATCAAGTCTAAGCTGGAAGAAGCATGTCCTCAGACGGTTTCTTGTGCGGATATTCTTGCCCTTGCTGCTCGAGGTTCCACTGTTCTAGTAAGCACTCAAACTTCATATTGTACTTCTTGGTGTTTTGATAAAGAAGCCCAAAATATTGTTAAAATGAGATTTTAGCCTCAATAAAATGCAGTAGTACTCTTGATTGATTAATTCAAAGTTCCCTATTCACTAATGAAGATTTGCTGATAAAATTGAACATCGATCACAGAGTGGTGGACCGAACTGGGAACTACCGTTAGGAAGGAGGGATTCTAGACAAGCAAGTCTCACGGACTCAAACAACAACCTTCCTCCACCGAACTCTACCATTCAAATCCTTATAACACTTTTCCGGCGCCAAGGCCTTGATGAAGTTGACCTTGTCTCTCTTTCTGGTTAGTAATTAAAAGAACTGATGTGTTAAGACCGTTCTTTTGCTAGCGGCTTGTTAGCTTCTATGGAGATCGTTGGTTGCTGTTTCAGATAAAAAAGACCGTTCTTTCTATCTCATTGGTGATTCTAGATTTTAATTAGATTTCAGGATTGTGAATTTGTGTAGTATTCTTCTCTGTGGGTTTCTTAATTTTCTTCTTATATATTTCTTGAAGGAGCTCATACAATAGGAATGGCTAGATGCACTGCATTTAAGCAAAGGCTATACAATCAAGATGGCAACGATCAACCAGATTCAACTCTAGAGAGAACATACTACAATGACTTGAAAACGGTTTGCCCAAAAACCGGTGGGGATAACAACATTTCTCCTCTAGATTTTGATTCTCCTGCAAGATTCGATAACATATATTTCAAGCTCATTATGGGGGGAAAAGGACTTCTAACTTCTGATCAAGTGCTTCTGGCTGGAAATGTTGAAGGAACCATGTTTCTGGTGAAGGCATTTGCCGAAGATGATGCCCTCTTCTTCGACCAGTTTGCTAGGTCAATGGTTAAAATGGGAAATATTAATCCCCTCACTGGTTATAACGGTGAAGTGAGGAACAACTGTCGAGTGGCTAACTAACTATAACTATAAAATTCTTGAGTTGTATGATATGGGTTAATGCAAGTGCTAGATCTATTTCCTTGTAATTCTGAAAACCCTAGTTTCTACTGAACGGAAAATGTGGCTTCTTTAAGTTTCTAGACATATCTTCTGCTGAAAACGGATCCAAAAGACTCAACTAAATTATGGGTGTCAAGCAAAATTAAACCTATATATAATTAATCCAAAAGTAGAAATTCATAAACATTATTCAGGAAATATACAGATCTTGAATGAGTTGTATGTATACATATATAATTAATGAGCTTGAGCTAACTGGTTTTGGTTTTGGATCTCTTAATCAATTTCTGTTTCACCATTCTTACAATCTTGTAGAACCAGAAAGCACTGACCAATTGCAGTCCCAAGGCCATTGCCTGCACACATTCAATATTAACCTCATTAAGTTAATTTAGAGGGTTCAAGAAGGTTGGGCCCCCAGACGGTCTAAACGACATCCTTTTGGAGCCTTATGGTACAACTCACTGATGCATACATACCGTAGAATTCTTGGAAAAATGACTCATTAGCTTGTACCTTGATTAGAAAAGGATTGTTCGCAGATAGTGTGACATAGCAGAGATATGGGCCAAAACACATCCTTGCAAATGTAAAGATTGCTGCGAATGAAACCTGTAAATTCAATGAAGATGAAACTGAGGAACATTATCATTATGGGAACAAATCAACAAAAAACATACAGCATTTTTATGGTGTGATGCTAAAGATCCAATATGTCTTTGTTACATGAAAACTTTCCCAGAAAAGAAATATATATTGCAAATTTTCAAACTAGTAATATTGAGTTGAGAAAATATAAGAAACTAACATCAGCAGCTAAATTGAGATCGGTGTCTTTATAACCAAGCTCTTTGAGAAGTTCTCTTAAATGGAGAAATGGACTGGATATCTCTGTGATCCACAATGCAGCTACCATTTCTGATCCACACTACACATGATTTATTGCAACTTTCTAAATATGGAAACCCAAATTCATTTCGAGAAAAATTGAGCATAAAAAAACAAATCTAAATAAAAGAAAAAATGTACCTTTTCATAAGCAAGGCCTGCTCCAATTCCAACAATGCTAACTAAATGATGAACCGCGTTATCGATCTTTATGTTGGTGTCGAACAAGCAACATACTAAATCATAGATCAAATAAGCAAGAGTGACTGCTAAAGCTCTCATCTGTTCGTCAAAAATTCAAGAAAACATTGCTATAAGTTCAAGATTTGTGGCAGAAATAAAGAAAATATTCCTAGAAGATGTGGACTTCTCTTTTCTAACCTGAAGAGGGGAAGAGTTTGCAGCCAAGGGACAAACTGGGCATCTCCAGTCTTGAACAGATAGAGAAGACAAGACGACTGCAAACACAGCATGAATTGTAGAAACAATACGGTTACAGAAATCAAAAGAGCGTTTCGGAAAAACCTTTTTTGTTAACAAGAATGCACTTGTCCATGAGATAACTCCAGAAACAACCAGATAAACCTTATCATGATCTTCCATAACTATTAATGCAACTAGATCCTCAGTTCAGGTAATGAGGTGTCTAAGACAAATAACATAACAGACACCAAAGATCGAGTCGTAGAAACAAACAAACAAAGTGAATTGAAGCAAACAACTGCAAATACAATAGAAGCAATAAATGAGGAGGTTTAGGATGACAAAAGTTAGGTTATTGGTTTAAATTCAAGTCGGCATATTAATTGGTGATCATGCATGCGGTTGCCTGGTGGGAGGAGGTAGGTTAGCTGTATTTATTTCTGTATATATACAACGATTGGGACATTTAACCAACACATATATAAATGGAACATATAGGGTTATAGGTTTGAAACTATATATGCTTCTTTTTCTCTGAGAACCGACTGCAATGTTAACTATACGTATAGTATGTTGGAGTATTTGATTCTCACTCAATTCTTCTGAAATGTGTTTGTCCACCTTTTCATTAAGAGTGAAATATATTTCGGATCCATAATGTTTGTTCATTTTCTTAGTTTGTTTCTTAGTGTCCACTTTAATTAGTCTTTCCCTTTTCCTCATATTTTCTTTTGAAAATTAGAAATTGAGTAAACTACAAATTTGGTCCATGTGGTGAATTTATCAGATATAAAACTTTTTGTCACTGCGGTCTTAGAAATATAAGATGGTCAGCATGGTTTGCAAAAACGTCTAGATTGGTCCTTGTCTTTTAACAGTCGTAAAAGATCTTGTTAAGTAAGGGTATTTTAGACTTTTTCCACTTTCTCTTATTTTTCATGACACACATACGTAGAGGGTAGACGACCAACACCTATCTCCTTCCCAATCACCTCTTTTTTTGCCGGCCAACACCTACAACTCCGTTGACCATCCCCATCCCTCTAGGAGCTCCTTCCTGATTGTGAATCCCCTCTGGCTGCCACTGATAGTAGAACCACTATCAAAACCAAGAAATCAAAATCCAAACAAAAGAAAGAAAGAAAAAACAAACTTAACTCTACTTCTAAATACTAAAAGAAAAGAACTCACAACTCTTCCAACATATTTGAAGTATGAGAATAAAATCAAAAACCAAGCAAAACTCAAAACCAAAATAAAATCCAAAACCCTAACTGAAATGACAATTAATGAACCCTAATACATAACAAAATCAATATATAAAACATATCCAAACCCTAATTGCAAGTGCTCACAATGGTGAAGAGTAGAATATAGAGGAGATGGATTAGGTACGCCTACTCGTAGATGAAAGGGGTGATTTGGAAAGGAGCTTGTGGTCGGTAGAGAGATGAGTTGCGTCAGATAAGAAGATAGTGTAGGTCATCAGAGTAGAAAATATTTGATTGAAATACATTTTTGCCAGAGACTTCATTGGGGGATAAGGGTACACGTTGTGATGCTAAGTGGGGGGTAGGGGAGTCAAAGATGGTGACCAACAGTGAGGGGAGTGTTAAACCCAGTTTCAATCAGATAACAATAAATTAAACAATAAGAACAACAATCTAGAGATCAAATCATCATGTATATTGATAAACTATTTCAATACATGTTTCTCTCTATATAATCTCTCTCTCTCTCTCTTGAATATTACAATATAACATAATCAATATGCATCTATTCACTTACAAGTACTATTACAAAGTTATTTATAAGATCGACTAAACATACAAGTCAAAGTACAATTAAGCACAATGTTGATTTTTATGTTGATGTTAAAAGCTTTGACCTCTTCAATCATTAAGCTCGGTGATTTCGGATACAATAATATTTGACCTAACAATCTCTCCCATTGTATTCGAGATCACATTCTTCAAAACAAATATCCATGTCTTCTCTTCAATAGATCTTTGATTTACACAATCTTCCCAATGAAGACGATCAAACTTTGTATAGGATGAACCTGAAAAATAACAATATCCCTTTTTTTTAAACAAATATTTTTTTTCCAGATCAAAATCTTCACTTTGAAACAATCTTCAGACGCTTTAGAATAATTTTCAATCTCCAACAGACAACTAATCTTCAGTAAATCCTTTTCAGACAACATATAACCTTAGACATTTGGCTTTAAGCTTTGATACTACGTGTAATAATCTCATTACCATTATATAGTGAAAAAAATCCAATTTTGTCAACAACTTTCTTTAAACAACTCTAATTCGAGCTTTCTTTCAAAGATAAGTCAACAATGAATCTTAAAAATTCAACACAATCTCTTCATCACATCTACAATCTTTAAATCCAAAGGTTTTTCAAGCTTAGACTCAAAAGATTTGGAAACAAATCTTCTCATTCATGAATTGATTCAACAATATGCTATATTTAACATCCCTTCAACATCATCATTTGTTACCAACATCTTTGAACATCATCTCTAGTCTTTGCATAATGTCTTTCTTCATATCTTTGTTCATGTCTTTGATAACTCTTTCTTTTATCAGATATCTCACGAAATAAATCATCGCGCTCTCTTTCTCTTGAAAGTAAACCATGATGGACTGTGGCCACAATCTAATCATAAAATGGTCAATATTGCTAACTTCTGGTTTGCCAGAACTTACTATGTTTGTCCACCTTTTCTTTAAGAGTGAAATATATTTCTGGTCCATAATGTTTGTCGATTTTCTTAGTTTGTTTCTTAGTGTCCACTTTAATTAGTCTTTCCCTTTTCCTCATATTTTCTTTTGAAAATTAGAAATTGAGTAAACTACAAATTTGGTCCATGTGGTTAATTTATCGGATATAAAACTTTTCGTCACTACAGTCTCAGAAATATAAGATGGTCATCATGGTTTGCAAAAACGTTCAGATTGGTCCTTGCCTTTTAACAGTCGTAAAAGATCTTGTTAAGTAAGGGTATTTTAGACTTTTTCCACTTTCTCTCATTTTCCTTAATATATACACACATACGTAGAGGGTGGACGACCAACACCTATCTCCTTCCCAATCACCTCTTTTTTGTCGGCCAACACCTGCAACTCCGTTGACCATCCCATCCCTCTAGTAGCTCCTTCCTGACTGTGAATCCCCTCTGGCTGCCATTGAGAACAGAACCACTATCAAAACCAAGAAATCAAAATCCAAACAAAAGAAAGAAAAGAAAAAAGAAACTTAACTCCACTTCTGAATACTAAAAGAAAAGAACTCACAACTCTTCCAACATATTTGAAGTATGAGAATAAAATCAAAATCCAAGCAAAACTCAAAACCAAAATAAAATCCAAAACCCTAACTGAAATGACAATTGATGAACCCTATTACATAACAAAATCAAAATCAATATATAAAACATATCCAAACCCTAATTGCAAGTGCTCACAATGGTGAAGAGCATAATATAGAGGAGAGTGATTAGGTACGCCTATTGGTAGACAAAAGGGGTGCTTTGGAAAGGAGCTTGTGGTCGGTAGAGAGATGAGTTGCATCAGATAAGAAGATAGTGTAGGTCATCAGAGTAGAAAATATTTGAGTGAAATACATTTTCGCCAGAGACTTCATTGGGGGATAAGGGTACACGTTGTGATGCTAAGTGGGGGTAGGGGAGTCAGAGATGGTGACCAATGGTGAGGGGAGTGTTAAACCCAATTTCAATCAGATAACAATAAATTAAACAATAAGAACAATAATCTAGAAATTAAATCATCATGTATATTGATAAACTCTCTCAATACATGTTTCTCTCTCTATAATCTCTCTCTCTCTTGAATATTACAATATGACATAATCAATATGCATCTATTCACTTACAATTAATATTACAAAGCTATTTATAAGATCGACTAAACATACAAGTCAAAGTACAATTAAGCACAATGTTGATTTTTATATATGTTGACGTTAAAAGTTTTGACATCTTCAATCATTAAGCTCGGTAATTTCGGATACAATAATATTTGTCCTAACAATCTCACCCATTGTATTCGAGATCACATTCTTCAAAACACATATCTTTGTCTTCACTTCAATAGATCTTTGATTTACACAATCTTCCCAATGAAGACGATCAAACTTTATATAGGATGGACCAGAAAAATAACAATATCCCTTTTTTTAGTCAAATATTTTTTTTCTAGATCAAAATCTTCACTTTGAAACAATCATCAGACGCTTTAGAACAGTTTTCAATCTCCAACAGACAACTAATCTTCAGTAAATCCTTTTCAGACAACATATAACCTTAGACATTTGGGCTTTAAGCTTTGATACTACGTGTAATAATCTCATTACCATTATATAGTGAGAAAAATCCAATTTTGTCAACAACTTTCTGTAAACAACTCTAATTCGAGCTTCCTTTCAAAGATAAGTCAACAAGGAATCGTAAAAATTCAACACAATCTCTACATCATAGCTACAATATTTAAATCCAAAGGCTTTTCAACCTTAGACTCAAAAGATTTGGAAACAAACCTTCTCATTCAGGAACTGATTCAACAATATGATATATTTAACATCCCTTCAACATCATCATTTGTTACCAACATCTTTGAACATCATCTCTAGTATTTGCATAATATCTTTCTTCATATATTTGTTCATGTCTTTGATAACTCTTTCTCTTATCAGATATCTCACGAAATAAATCATCGTGCTCTCTTTCTCTTGAATGTAAACCATGATGGACTGTGGCCACAATCCAATCACAAAATGGTCAGAATTGCTAACTTCTGGTTTGCCAGAACTTACTATGTAGATCTCAAAAATCTTCATACCGCCAGTATGGAGAGATGCACATATCTCTATGATACACCAACTAGACTGACATGTTGAACCTTAGTGAAAGTTATGCAAAAACAATATCTCTATGTGATCGTTGAAAATTTTCTTAAACCTCCTTGCATCACTTAAGCCATATTTAAAATTCGTCCATCTTCGGGTCAAAGATCTAATATCAAAACTTACAAGTGATCGACTTGTCTACGTTGAGTTAAAGCTTCTACTTGAGTGACCAAACCGAATAGTTAGCAAAAAATGGTAACACCAAAGTGTTACATAGTATCTCTTAGGTTTTTCTTACACCCACAACCAAATGTGGTTTTAGCTTGTGCTTAAAAGAAAATACATAGTAGAAGACAAGAAATACTTTGTTGATCATCTCTCTCAGTAATTTGCTAATGATCTTTTTTATCTAATGAAAAGTACTTTCTCTTTATTCAGCTTCACCGATCTTCATTGAGTCTGTTCAGTAATCGTAGACAAGTATTCTTCAAGAAGACAAAACTCACACCATAAGAACCTTCAGTGATATCAAAGATAAAGCTGAAGAAGAGACAAGCAATTCATGATCTGATGCGGTTTCAGTGATAACAAGCTTGTCTACAAATGTATGAAGTCTACTCAAGATTCTTAACCTTCCGAAGTTATATTTACTCCAAGTGAAGAACACCAACTAAGATCTTCCTTTTTGTATCTTGTGTGTTTTCTTGATTGTTTTAGATAAGTTATGTATCTTATCTTATTCCACAAACAATTTGTAAATTATGTATTGATCTTCTTTATAAATAAGTGATTTTAAAAAGTGAAAATTACCATGTGTTTGTATTAATTCCCCCTTCTACAAACTGTTACATTTAAACTTTTGTAGATCCGTCTAAGACCAACAAGTGGTATCAGAGAAGTGTTTTATTATCTCTTCTTTGTCTACATAATTTATTTACCATTCTAATGGCATTGCAAAACACAATCACGATAATAGCTCTAAAGCCAAACCTCTTTGGTTCATTAGAGACAACTTCGGTTTTTGGAAGAATCGGACGTCTCTTTTCTTGGAAGGTGTGGATCTTGAAATTTCATACTATATTGGAAATGGATCCTATGTTCTATTTGCAATATCTCTAGCGATTTCTGCAACTACTACGATTGCCACCATTCCTGAAAGACAGATTCTGAAACTCCCTCATCAATGGAGTGATAATGACAAGAAAAAAATGATTTTGATTACTTGAGTTAGATCAATAATAACCATGTCTCTTTCTGAAGATGTTTATCACTCCCTTATGATGTTAAGGACCTAGAAATCCATGTGGGACGCTATTTGTGTTCAATATGAAGGTACATCTGAAGTACAAAAATCGAGGAAGATTAATTTAGTAAGACAATATGAAAGTTTTCTCTGCGGAAAAGCTGAATCTTTGTCTGAAGTATATCAACTTTTTAATTGTCTTCCAATCGATTTAAGAACAGTTGGAAAAAAATATTCCAACTCCGAGACCCTGACAAAGTTCTTAAAATGTTTGCTAGAAACATGGGATAATTACACCATGTGTCTCAAGATGTCTAAGGATATGCCTCCCTATCCCTTAGCACTCTTTATGGGATATTGATTAATCATGAGCAATATTGTCAGTTGAAAAAGAATCTTCTCAAAGATTCAAGAGAAATGAGAAGCTCTCTTTTAGCTTTGATCTCTAAAACCCCTTCAGCTGATCCTTCTATTTCTTCTACTCCTTGTTATTCTCTTATTATCACTGAGTTAGATCCTTCTAACTCTGAGGACTTAACAGACACTGATTTATCAGAGTTTGATGAGTCTTTGGTCCGCCTTACAAACTCTTTCAAAAGGTTTGCTAGAAAAAGTAATTTCCACAGATCTCTTTCTCTAACTATCGCTGACAAACCAAAGTCAAATCCTATTGACAAGATTTCAGCTAACTGCTTTAACTGTCAACGCAAAGAACACTTTGCAAGTGAATGCAACTCAAAGAAAGTTATGAAGCCATCTTCTAACATCTCATTCTCCTTCAGACTTAAAAACGATAAATATCTGAAACTGAAGGAGCAGTACAAAAAGATGAAAAAATTTCGAGCATAAAAGTAAAGGACTTATTGATGAAGAACATGAGTGGGCTGAGACGAATCATCTTCAGATGAGGAAGACACGACCTATCTTTCTCTTATGACTAAGGATGTCAAGAATGAACCATCTGAGACATCATCTTCTAGTAATCCCTCTCCATCAACCTCTACTCAGGTATGTAATCTAAATGACCCTTCTACTTCTAGCTGTGATAGCCTATCTACACTAGATACACTGACTGTGGATCTTTACAATGCTTTAAACGGCAAAACTAAAGCTGAAAAAGGTAAATCTTCATTTACAAAAAAAATTAGAAAAATTTCATTCTAAGATCAAAGAACTGACTAAGATTGAAGAAAATCTTAAAAATCAAGTCAATGTAAATCAAGCAATCAGCATCGAATGCGAGCAGGCTAGCTCTGAGCGAGAGCAAGCAATTGTTGAACTCAAGGTTGAAAAGGCTACCATTGAAGAATGGTGTAAAGTCTCTATCAAAGTCACTGAGATAATTAACACTCAGGTTCCCACGAAGATCAAGAGTGGTCTAGGTTATACCTATGATCAGGAAAATCATGTCAGTGACAGGTCCATGCTTAAGTTTGGAACCTTTGTCTCTTCTTTCCCTAACACTTATTCCTTTCAATACTCATCTACTGAATCTCTTCTTGAAGGAACTTCTCTAAATTCAAAATGCAAAGACAAAGGCAAAACCATTTTCAGAATTCCTCTTCCATCCAAAAAGGACCACAAGTTGAATAAAACTTTTCTATACCTTCAGCTTGTAAACCTGCAACCTTGGATACAAAGGTCTCTGAACATTCTCAGAGATCAAGCCCAAAACCGAAAGTAAATCTTTCACCCAAGTATTTAAATCTTCAGTTGTTCCTCCTAGAACAACTGAAAAAGGAATTCATGGAGTTGGTCCCTCTCATCTAAGGCTTCCAAACCTTGACTTTTCTGGTCCTAAAGCTTTTTTCAACTATAGGAAGTGTCGTCATTGTGGTAAGACTACTCATGTTGCTAGTAAATGTCCTTCATCTACCATATCTAGTTCACCAGCTAAGATAAAGAAAGTAACTAAAGTTGAAAAGTCAGCCAAAGTGAAATCAACCACAAAAGTTTTTAAACACAACTAATGTAAAGAATGCCACTGATGCCTCTTCTTCAGGATTAGAGAAGACTTCCACTGAATCTAAGCCTTCAGTATCAGTGAAGATAGATGACACCGCCATCTCTAATTTTGTTGGACCCATTTAAAAAATGGGTACTAAAGCAAAATTAATATCCTTTCTATTGCAGGGAGTCAAAAGGTATATGATATTTAGATAATAGATGCTCAAAACATATGACTGGAGACAAAACTCTGCTCTCTGAATATAAAGATGAAAGAGACCATTCTGTTACCTTTGGTGGAAACGTAAAAAGATATACCAAAGGTTTTGGTATATTAACCAACAATGCAACCACCTCTAGACGTGTTACATATGTTGAAGGACTGAAGCACAATTTTCTAAGTATCAGTTAACTGTGTGATAAAAATTTCACAGTTAAATTTCTCAACAATACATGTTACGTATGATAAAGATGGCAATCTCGCTTTAACAGGATCTCATCAAGAAAATGTATATGTCATCAACATGAATTCTCCCTTCACTGAGAATAGCTGAACGAGTTGTCTACAAAATAATTCGCCACTGGCCTTCCTCAGCACTCTTTTGCAAAGAAATCTCTTTGCTCAACGTGTGAAAAAGGAAAACAGACACAGGCTAGTTTTAAATCAAAGAAAGTATCTTCAATGACTTCTTTCAACTACTATATATGGATTTATTTGGCCTTGTCAACGTACAATCCATAGTTGGAAAAAAAATACACACTCGTTATAGTTGACGAGTTTTCCAGGTATATTTGTGTCTTCTTTCTTAGATCCAAGAGTGATGCACATGAAAAAATCATCCCGTTCATAAAAGCGCATAGAAGTATTGAACAACATTAAAGTGCACTCAATAAGGAGTGATCATGGCACTAAATTCAAAAACAATATCATCGATAATTTCCTTGAGAACAAGGGAATCTCACACAATTTCTCTGATGTGAGAACTCCACAAGAAACGTTGATCTCCCTGAAGCCAATGATGATCTATTTATCATTCCTGACACGACTAATAACGAAGTTGAATCATCTTTTGAGATTGTTGTCATTCTCATTAGTCATATACCCCCTTCTACTTCAAATATTGATCCTTCAGAGATTGCTGACATTCTCATTATTCATTAATGGCCTTCAATTTATTATTATTTTTATCGATAGGTCCCGTTGAAATCGTCACAAATGCATTTTGTTTTTACTAAAAAAACCACATCTCCCCCCTTATACACACGTTACTATGGTGAGGTGACATGAAACGGTACCATGGGCTTGGCTCTTGGCCTTATATTCACATCTATATCATCGTCAAAATCAGTACATTATATTTTTTAATTAATTAATAATAAAAACAAAACCAAATTAAATTTCATAGCTCGATGAAAGGTTATGATTGTAATCCGGTAGAAAACATTATCATATCTTTGTTGATTATACAAAAATCCAAAGCATGTCCGATCAAAACGCACTCATCAATTATTAATATGAATCCAGATCCCTTTTTAAAAAAAGCAGTTAAATAATAAGGACATATAAATCATGATCATTGATTAGTATACGATGATTTCTCGATAAAAACGACGTATTTGAAACAGAATACCGCTCATTTCGTAACCCACTTGCATTTTTTATCCTTAAAAAACATGATGATAACGTTGATGGTTGTGAATTCATTGATAAAAATATAACTTCAACATAACAATTTTAATTAATAATATATAACTTAAAATATTATTATTTAAATAAATAAAATAGAAAATAGAAAAGCAAGCCAAAGGCATTCCCCTTTTTCCCAATCTCCACCCAATACAAGCCTTGATTTCAACGTACAACCCATGAAAGCAGCACCAAACCTAACCCTAGTAGGACGATATTATATCATGCATTGATGACTAGTACTGTAACATCTCAGCAGACGCCATGATCGGCTGTTGATTAAGGTACATCAAGTTCCATGGATTGTTCATGAAATCAGGCTGTTCAAATTCAAACAAACCAGGGGCGGTGGTTGTACTACTGCTACAGTTGATGAGATTGATGATTTCGTTGAGATAATCTAGCCTCTGGCTCAGCTCACCCATCTGAGCTCTTATAACCGAGTTCTCCGCTTCGACTTGAACGAATTGCTGTGTGGTGACGTCAATGGTGGTCAAGATCTGGGTGTTATCCTTCTTCATCTGGTTGATCTGATCCGTCAGATCATCAAGATGTTTCTGTTTCCTCACCCTCGATCTTCGTGCCGATTCACGGTTTGATTGCATTCGTTTCCTCTTCCTCAGGCCCACCAAATCCTCCTCGGATCCAGAGTGGTGGATCTGAGACGAATTCCCACTTGAAGAAGCCATATACGCAATATTACCAAATTAAAAGAAGCTAGCTAGGTCTAGGTCTAGGTCTAGGTATAGGTAGAAGAAAGTAACTAAACTTGAGGATGGAGAAATAGATATAGATATGTGCAGGTTTTGGGAGGGTTATTCATGAAAAAACGTAGAACCAGTAGAGGAAGACGACAGATAAGGATTGAACGAGATGAGTCCGGCGCCGGAGAGAGGAGCTGATGGTAAATCCGGACAGGAGAAGTTCACTGAGAACAGGAGACATCAATCTCTAACATCTATTCCGACGAATTAATGGTGGGTTTTGGAAGAGAAAGAGATGATGAAAGAGGGATGATTATATAGATGAAAAACGGAAGGTGGGTGTGCATTAAAATAATGGAAAAAGGTGGGGGAAAAGCGAACCCAAAGAATATCCGCCATGGGAGATGAGAGAGTGTGATGCTGATTGAGGACGTAGGGTGGAGAGAAACTTACACAAGAAAACAAACTACATACAGCTGGTAAGCTTCAAAAACAAACAATATTACCACACCATGTTTATTGTTGATTTTTTGCTTTAATTTTCTCTACTTACAAGTTATTTATCCAAACACTCAAAAATGTTTATTACCGATACCATGTCGGAATAAGTCAATAAATTGTTTTTATAAGTAATCCCAAACACCCCCTAAAATAAATATATTAGATTGGTTCCTCTTATATTCATTGGATTTCAACTGATATATATTCACACAATAAACTTTTATTAATAATATTTACTTTAAGAACATAACGTCTTGCTTCAATAACAACAATTTGTCTGTTTTAACTAAATGTTGGGTTCAAAGTTGTGCTTTGATTGTTGTATTCAAGTTTGTTTCTGTTAATTTTGTATTAGTGTTGCTTTAATGCTTTCTAGCATAAACAAGGTAATTTGTCTTGTAATTAGTGTAGAGCTTATCATTAGTGTAATCATTACAAAGATTGAATACAAAATATTTGGGTTAAAATTCTCTCTCTAAATTGTTCATATTGTTCTTCAAGATTATCTGATTTACTGATTGTTTGGGACACACACTAACATCATTAAATATTAGGACAGGGTCGGTAAAGAGATATGGATATGGGCATGTGCAAATCGATCTTGTCTTTATAGCAAATCCACATAGCCTTTCGGGTTCCTGTTCCCCATTACCAACATAATATTCGTGTAAAGCGAAATCATCCTATATGACTTGCTTCACCACAAAGGTTCGCACTGCCCACCTATCATTTTGTCCCTGATTTATAATGCAGTGTATATATACGATGCTTGATTTGGATTCGTTGCTACAAGTTCTCGAGAAAAGTCCATAAACAAATTAAACCTCTCTCAATTCGTAGTAGTTAAACACAAAACCATAAGCTTCACATGTGAATTTGTTAGATTTAAAGGGATGGTGGGTGTTTATGAATAAAGAGATTTGGCTTTATAAAAGATGGATTATGCATGAATCCAATGGACCATGCAAATTTCAACGTTTCTATAACTAAAAGAAGGTGAGATTCTTCACACACAAAAACCATCCAAATTTACTCCAACAACATTTTATTCATTAATTAATCTTTATTTTCTTAATTTAAAAAAAATCTGTTATCTGTATAAGAAGTTAGGGGTTGTTTGGCAATTAGTGAATGTTTGGTGCAAAATAATTAAGTAATCAGAATGATTAAAAGACTCTCATGATATAGTGCAAAATGAAATATAATTGTTTGGTAATTGTGTACAGTGAAATTAGGGCTCTTAATGGTTAAGGGAGATTTATGATACAAAATCATTCAGAGGGTTTTAGAACCATTAAGAGGCTGACTTTTTTTTTGCCAAACAAGATTCACCTCTTAACAATTCAGATGTTGCCTCTTAATGGAACTATTAAGAGTTAAACAAACAACCCTTTAGGTTTGAATTAAAGAATCAAGATAATGGTCGAAGTCGAACTGTGGCTTGTGAGGGTAATATTGTTGTTTTACCACCTTGTATATCTATACTATATTATAAAGTTTTTAATAAAAAAATTTAAAAATCATTTTTTATACATGAAGTACTGTTTATTGATGCATATTAGTTAAAATTCAAGATTACAAGTAAATAATGTATAAGTACAACTTATTAAAGCTTCATATTTGAATTCGTGTAACTAACTATAGATAAACATAATCAAATACCGGATAAACATTTCATTTTAAATATAAAAATCTAAAATATAATTAAGATCGTAATATTTAATTATATCTTTATAAAAAATAAATTATTTTTTTTATTAAACCTAAATTAAATTATAATAAAAAAGTTAAATTAAAGAAATTACACAACAAAACAATAACTTTTAATAGTTAATTTGATACTAATACCGATTTGTTTTTTAAATTTTTTAAAGATATTCTCAAATTTATATTTTATTTAAAAATAAATTAATTATCGTTTTTCTCAAAACCACTTACAACCATATTATAACATCGACAGGGAACAAAATAAAACGAAACATTAAAATCGAGATATATCTCACTGCATTACACGAATACCCTTCTAATTATACAAAATATTATTTATGAGTCCAGATTTAGAAAATGAATATGTTTTCTTAATTAATGTTTTTTAATATCTTGAATTATGACGTAAACATTCAGATTCTATAGGGCTATGTGTGGGTCCGATGTATACGACCGCACCTGGACGGTGGTTCGTGGTCTGTGTCGGGCTGGGCCCCAATCAAAAACTAGTCCTTTTCTTCTTAAACCTTTTGCCCTTGTACTTTCAGATTCTTCCATTTTTGGTCCCTGCACTTCTCATCTTATTTAGAGTATGTAAACAACACATTACTGGATTCAATTAGCCATGTGCCGTTTAGTTTTCTCTTTCATTGTTATTTTGGTCCAAAATTGTATAATCTATTGTTTTAGAACGAAACAAAAAAAATCATATCTAAAAGTGTTACAATATGTTTATAAGACGTTTACGGGTATTCTAACAAATTTTTAGGATGCTTCAAAATAAAATATCGTATTTGTTATTTTAAATGACACAATGTGAAATAGTGTCATATGAACACAATTGTCCTCTAAATAAATGAGTTTGCATGACATTCTCAAAAATTTCTATAAAATAACTAGTACACCATATTTTATTTAAACTACGTTCTAAAAAACTTGTTGAAATACCCGAAAACATCCTATAAACCTATTGTAACCTTTTTAGATATGATGCTCTATAGTTAGGTGTTATAAACTTAAGTCTTGTAAAGTATTTCATTCGTCAAATATATGTAAGTACTAACCCGCCTCAACTTAAGTCTTCTGAAGGTTGAAGTTATTGCAGGCACCTTCCCCTCTAATTAATGAATCGATCTATCTTTGTCTGTCTTCCTCTTTCATCGTCGTCGTCATCCCCTCAATCACTCGTCTTTTTTTCTATTTAAAGTTTTATTTTTTACATTTTAACCATAAAATAACATTTTTTATTAACCTAGATATCCAACCTGCTATATTAACCGACTAATTTCAGGACGACCACCTACTTTGCAGATAGCCCGGAGTCACCGCATTTAAACCTCCGTGGCTACAAGAGAATTTTTATTCCTCCTGGAATTTGAACCTGAGATCTTCAGGTACTTTTGACCTTTGGAGCCAAGTTCAAGCCAATCAGACACCACCCTTGTGGTTAACCATAAAATAACATGATTTTTCAGTTAAACACTTGACATATTTATATGTTAATTTTGATCACAAAACATATATAAATTAAAAATGCTTTTATGATTTTTATAATTTGAATCAAACTTAATGTTAGTAAACATGATTGCATAATTCCCATAAATGTTATAAAAAAAAGTACAATGATTTGTCCTTAGAAAATAAAATAAGATGCAAGTGGAGAGTTTGATGATTTTTTAATCAATAAATATAATATTCGAAGACGCACCACCCTTGTGTATGTTGCAAAAGTCAAGGATTGCAAAACTAATATAAATGTTTATATGTTATTTTTATTTTTAAAATAAAATATTTAATAATAAGTTTAATTAAGTTGGCCTTTTAATTTGGGTTTAACCAAAAACATTAATATTTGATTAACATTTTTTATTTTATGTAAGACCCGCTTTATTGAGAAACCCGGTTTACCTGTCATGATGGACAAGGGTGTGGAAGAGATCCCTCAAAGTTAAAAATCAAGGATGAGAATTGGGTTAGGTAACGTGAGCCTCCAAGTGATCCGTCCTTGTATATTAAATATATAATAATTTTTTTATTAAATATATCATATATTTATTATTAAATATATTATTTATAAATAAATAGATTTAAAAAGAGTATTTTTGACATTTATTCTTATATATATATATATATATATATATATTTTATGACGGCTTATTTTTTTTAGATAAAAACATGGAGAATCAAAAGCGTTAAATCAAATAGTTACGTATTATGTTGTGATTTTGTTCACAAATGAATATTTGATACTCATAAAAGCAAAATTTTGGAAATATGTGAAATTCAAATATAGACCATTTCGGATCAAGTGTGATATAACACATTTGATTTAAAAAAAATATCTCATAAATGGGGAAAAAAGTCCCCAATTCCATGCTAGGGGATCCCCGTTCCCATGTCGCTGGAGACGGAGATGAGAATGTAATTATATTCTCCACTGAGGATGGGGACGAACATCAGCGACCGAGCATGGGGATGCTGTAACGCCCCTGAAATTTGAAAATAGCAATAAATTTGAACTTCATATAAACCTAAAAGAGACGTCAAAGTTTACAAGACAACACCAAAAATAAAGTTATGTATCAAAGTACTGAATACTTCTATCTAAGTCTAGTAGGACTAAATTTAAGCCGGAGGTTACGTCAACCACCAAAGTTGTTGTCTTTAAAAGCATGAACTCTCAAAAAATGCTAATCCGCTTGTGCCTCTAAATGCATTCCAAACTCTATGATCATTTCTCTTTGGGCTCGTCCCCTGCCAAAAATGACATTAAAGAAAAAAAAAGTGTTGAGCTAATGCCTAGTGAGCTCAACCATTTTATAAAAGTATTGAAACCGCAAAATTTAGTAATGTGCTAAATATAAAGGTTTAATATCCTTAAAATGAGAACAACGAGAAGTGAGGGACCATAGTCCATTTCAAGTCATTTTCATCACAAAGGTAGGATACAATCAATATATCGTGTGATCACGGGGGAGAACCAATGCCATCAAGTGGAGGAACACTAAATAAGCCACATTAAGATGTTGACGAGAAATCATTCTAAGCATACAAGCCACAATGACACTCTACTTCGGGCTAAAGTAAGAACCTCAGAAC